AAACGTGTGATACTTGTGCACCACTGGACGCTTGTTATTAGTGGTCGTAGTCACCGTGGACAACACGCTCCTACTCGGTGCAATCATCGGGCGTCCCGCGAGGAAGCTCGCCTTTCCACACCCATCGAACGTATGCTGAGTTGAGAAGGGTAGCATCCATGTGGTGGTTACGCTCATTCTCCAAATCATTAAGGCGTGATCAAGGCAATTATAACTTGACATAAAGAAACGCCCACCTTCATCTGAGGAAAATGACCAGAATGTTCAATTTTGTTCTAAAGGGTATATTTTAAGAGATTCAACTTCCTTGCTATATCGTGATGTCGAAAAACACCTGCATGGTCACAACTTTTTCAGTTGCCTTATTTCGTAAAATAATGTTCATTTGAAAATATTTGGAACCGTTACTACTTGGTATGTCATTGAGCAGTGATTACAGAAGGGTAGAATCTGATTTGTACATCCGATCCGCCTATTTCAGCTGTTAACCCCCATATTCGCGTTGTTCGCACTTTGACCTCAAGTCACGCGGATCTCTCACCTCACGTTCTTTGTACCTTTATCGAGTCTCTGATTCGTTTTCGCAAACCGGATTTCGCCGCATCGCCAGAGCAACTCTACAGCGATCCAAATCTCCGAATGCAAGTCCCAACTAACGCCAGCTCTGATCCAAGGACCGTGCTAATGCAGACGCCTAGGAACGCTTCCGCACTTCAACTTCTTGCTTCCGAGCTAATCAAAAGGTACTCGCTCATTCGCAGGCAAAGATGCTGTGGAACCGCTCGTGAGGATGACATCTCAAATTTCATTGTCTACTTAACTACTAATAAGCATGCCATATATGTTTGGAGCAAAGGTCCTTAGTATCTGTGCCCACGTGAATATGATGCATGATTTCACAATGCATTGGTGGGTAGCCTTGTGATTATTGATGCATTCCTCTCCACTGCGCTTGAGACTTAAATCATATAGCATACATACAAGCCTCAAATGTTAATCAAATTCAGCCTTTGCAGGTAAGCATCAGCCATCTGTGACAGGCATTGTTGTAAAGGTTATGTTAAACTGTTAAAGTCGATGCGTTGACAGACTGGAAAGGATGCCAACAATTTTGTCAAGAAAATAAAGCGAAATCGGCTCCCCACCGACTTCAGTATTACCTATTTTCGAATCTAGAGGCTGATTCGAGTGATACGCCTATGAGGGGTTGCAATGAGTCGGGAGCACTTCATAGCTTCCGCGATTACCACATTTGAGGAATGAAGGAATGAGCTAGACAGGTTCCATCCTGCTTAAGCCTTTTGATAATTAGGCAATGATCAGGCGCAGCCTGGTAGCCAGTTAACTTTTTAGTGTGGTTGAAGTAATCAGTGGTCCACTGGAGCAGAGGCATATAGCATTGTCATCCGATATTGCAATACAGGAAAGGAAGCACGCACAGCAAAGTGAGTGTCCTATCCAGTGGAGCCGAAGGGTACGAGTTGGCATAGATATTGTGTGTGCGGTCTTCCCTAGTGAATTGACTCGATATTAAAAATGTACAGTAGACGGTGATTACAAGGCGACTTTGGGGCACTGCAGATTCTTTGCATCATCCACAAGCCAGCAGTAAAGGTAGTGTCATCAGGAAGTGCACCAGACACATATGTTAGGGGTTGTTGAAATTGGCTATGGAGGGTGAAGTTCCGCTACAAGTAAAATGGGCAGAGACACTCAAGAGCTTTGCATGTCCTGATCTAGTATACCAGCAGTCAATTACAGCTTGCACGGAAGTTAGGTCCCATGGAGTATCGATTACAATCCCATTCAGGTTCTTTAGTAAGGGTTCAAAAGAAGTTTTCTTGCAGCAATTGTACCATTTTTACCGAATGCCTACTTCTAGGCGTTGACACTAGAGGGAGAAGGGAGGCTGAGCCAGATTACAGAAAGGCCTTTAAAACTCAAGAAGCTAAAACAGTCGCTTCTGGTTCCTTTAACCTGTTGACTTGACAACGCGAAGTCTCGGAAAGTGTGAAAAGCGAACAGGGTGTTAACTTTGAGCGCCAACCCGCACTAGATCTGCAATACTTTCGAGATCACACTGTACTCAGGTTTACATGGCTCCTACTAGGAGCTTCTAGTTGTGGGTTTGCAATACATGTCTAACTTGGCGCTCTCCTGCGTGTAGGGTTGCAGTGGGTGTCCCCATCGCATCCTTACCGTTGCGCGTGCTCACCAACTGTGGTGTGCCAACCAGTTGATAGCATTTTACCAAACACTGAAGTATCAAGTTCCACCTCCTCGAGGTACTTGGCAACACCGCAAGTTGTAGGACACATTTTAAACCAAAACTCGATCACCTCGACTTGTCATATTGACATGAAGGATAGGATTTAGCAAACTCTATCGACTCATGCTACTCTCCGCAGTTCGTTGCAAATTCCATCGTCCCTGAATCAACCACGCATTTAGAGTGAAAAGTATCATGTTAACGACAAACTACTTGACTAACCTTCCGTTGCCCTCCTCATTCTCCTCTGCGCGTCCAATGAGGAGTCACTATAACCAAATGCGACCTCACAAAATCATACCTCTAGCCAGATACGAACTCGAGGTCTGCGCGCTAAACGTGAAAGGCAACTCATCGACTGCAGCACAAAAAAACAACGGGTAGTTTGCGTGGCGCATGTTCGGTTAATAAAACCTTTTGCACAAAATATAGGGGAAATTGAACCAATCTAGCGGCTTAACGAACTCTATCGATCCCTCAAGAGAAGCCAAGCCGATCCGCTATCAAACCTTCATTTCGATAATCTTTCTACCCTCAAATAATGTAGTTTATCAGTGGCGAAGGAATATTATTATGAGTTAATGGCCCTGAAATCGGAGGTAGAGGGAAGGAGCAGTGCCACCGCTGTCATTGATTTGGTTAATCCACCAGCTTCTCTACCAGTGTGCAGTATCAAATTGACTGAAAGCATATCAACAAATGATTATTTAGAGGTCTAACTGAATTGTAATGTAGAAACGCTAGTGACAACTGGTTTTGATTTCAACTGTCTCACCTTTCATGGCGATTCGCTATTAAGAAGTGAAATTTTTTAAGGAGTAAGGTCGAATAAGAATGCCATCGTTGAAGACCGCAAATGATTTAGTAAATGGTGAGAGACTTGAACAACAGAGTTAAACTTTCGTTGGAGGGCATGGTGGTTTGGCAACTTGTATAATCAAGTAAGCAGTTCGCTCTCTGGCATGACCTCGAGACCATGGTGAGGACCCTTTAGGGCTTCTCTATGTTACCACTATACGCTCCAGTTTGAGAGTTTGGGTTGTTGTGAATCTGGAGGGCGAAAAGGACCTTGTAACGCCACAGTAAGGACTCATTTCTAATGTATATTACTTGCTTTAAATGCGCTGGGTAGGTGAGAGGCGGACAGTCAATTTGAACGCCATTCCCGAGGAGCCAATATGTGCTACTCAAGAATCGTCGTAGGTACTCACCCATCCCCCACTTCTGTTACCGTTTTACTATTTTTTATTCCTTCATAATGCCCAATAAATATCACACAGGCAAGCAGCCTCCTAAAAAAGTAACTGGGAAGGACTAGATGGATAGCAATGGAGAGGCTACACTAATAATACGAGGTGCATCCTGGTTTGCTATTGCTCCAACTCCACAGTTTATCTTAAGTCGAGTGTCTTTAACGCCTTCGGATCCAAGTGGGCAGTACGACCCCTTCTCTGCACTAAAAGTAATTCCACTACACGCTTAAGAGCATGCAAGTCACCGGCAGCATGTCTTGAAGAAGCGCTTGTAATATATGCCAAGGTGTTAGGAGAAAGGAGGTTGCTCAATTCAAACTCGAATCCCGTTCGTGCGGGGCGCGAAGAGGCATCCTCAGAGTGACATCAGCTTAGCGCTTCATCGATTCTCCCAGCGTTTCCTTTTACTGTACAAGGTGCCGAATGAGCCTTCTTCAACCAACCCTCTCATGAAGTCCGAGGTTCAGGGACCTGAGGGTAGGCAGGCCGGTCTTACAGCGCACAATACATCATGTTTGTAACGTTTGTATTTGTTTACGGAAATGTTCTAGGTGAGAGGCAGAAACACAACTCGAGTGCCGTTCTCGAGGGACGGGTTGAGGGGTCCCATCTAGTGTATCTTCCATTGCGCCTTATCGGTCTCTATGCCAAAAAGGACGCCCCAAAATATTTACATCTGTCGTATTAGTGTGGCTGCAAGGGAGAGAAGGTAAGGAAAGGGAAGAGGAAAAGGGCAGGAAAGAAGAGCAAACGGACCTATGTGATAAGAGCCTCACTTGTAATACGTAATAAAAGTGTGTAAGATATACTGCTTTTAAATTGTGGACAGGTCGAAACCACTGATCTACTAAGTGGACAACGTTCCCCATTACCTGAACTAGATGAAACTGTTTCAAGGAGGTGGAAACGCACCTATTAAACACAGAAAATGACCATAATCGCATGGCTCATCAAATTATCACTTAACTATGGTTGCGAAATTGGGGCATTTCTCAAATTTTATTGTTGTGGTTAAAATATAGAAACATATAAGATCAGCTTAACGCTTTTTGATTCAAAGGATTCGCTCAATTGAATAGCGGGAAGTGTAGCGCTACAAAGTGTGTCACGAAAGTTTGTATACCAAAGATAATACTTTTGTGTTTGGTGCAGTATCACTGGTACAAATGTTTGAATGCGTGATTTTATCGTAGGTTGGCCTATCGACCAATCGTCCCTCGAGGTGGGTAGGTCGGGACTTGGCGCTGCGTACGCAAAGGTTTCGGTTTTGGGCAGGAACGTAGGATTTTGGTGCAAAAAAGGTAGGTCGGTGTGGACCTGCACTCCGTCTCTTTCCGTTGCATCACTAATTGTTTAGCCTAATACCAGTGGGTTAAATCCAGTGCTGCTGGAATTTTGGAGTTGAATTGGTCATGGGTGGATCGAGTGATGGTAGTATGCGCATGTGAGAGTGGGATAACTCAACGTTCTATTTTGGCACCAATTTAGCTATGGTAGTATTGACGGCACGTGGTCGACTCGGTTCTTTTGTTTCGAGATTTTTTACTATCCCCGTTTTGTTTTGCAGCACTGGAAATGTGCGATTAAACCACTCCAGAGTTTTATGTCAAGTTCGATAAAAGCTGCTATTTTCTCTTTTTTGCGTTATAGTGCATAATTGGTTCCAAATTCAAAATGATGACAAGGTAAGTTGGTGTTGAAGATGATTATTTGTGGTGTTACAGAAATCGCGGTAAGTCGAAGTCCGTGATTGAGAAGTTTGGACTTGTAAGAAGAAATAGGAGACGAAGCCTGAAGAATGGAGATTTGATGAGAGTTAGCACAGCCTTATCAGCCGCTCCATGTGAACGAAGCAGCGGAGCATGGAAGGCGGAAATGAAGATGTGGAATGGAGTGGGAGAGTTGATCATAAGAGACGAAGGTGATGCTGGTCGCCGGTGTGCTCAGGAAACAGATGGATTTGATTCAGCTGAAACCACTCCGGCCAAGTGGAGCTCTTCACCGGATAAGTTGGATGCATTGGCAATCGGTCAACCAACGTTTGCCAAGGATGAGGATGAGCTAGGAGCTTTGCGATGCGATTGGCTTCCTCCCAGTCATTTCCAGTGCTTTCAGACGTGTGATGAAATTCTTCGAGAAGTGGTGGAAGAAATCAGTATTGCAGGCTCAGTGTTTCCCTCTAGACGGGTATTTTTGCAAAGCAAATTGCAGAAAATTGGATCAAATGAGAAGGAGGGGGAAGATACAGTGTATGCATTTGGAGAGACTAATTTGCAGAGTCTGTTCGAGCGGATGTCGGCTGATTTGGCGAAAATGAATGATGACCTTGATAAAAAGGATGCATTTCTTGCTTCCTGCGGTTTAGTGCGACCAGGGGTGGCAAGGGCTTTGCGAAAGAGGAGATTGGAGAGGGCCAAACAGCCGAAGCGGAGAGCTTTAAGACAACTGCGACTGAATCCTCGACCAAGGCGCTTTCTGGACATGGTGAATCCTGATGCTGAGGTGGCAGAGCGTCTGACTGGACTGTCACGGAATGCAAAGCGGGTTCGTGATCGAAA